CCTATGTTAACTTATGGTCACCCCCTCAAACTTAGTATGGAGCCTAAAAGGTATGAGTCGTCCGCCTGTTTTTAGAAAACAGAGGCTCTCAACCACTACTCCTGCTAGGTTAACAACTTATGAGTTAAAAGCCAACAAACATTGGCGAATAAAGGGGAACAACCGGTACCCACCGCTTGATACCTCTACTACTTAGTTCCTTGGCAACTAGGCAACAATCATGTTTACTTGGTCAGACCACTTTCCTACTTGGTTAATTTTACAAATGACAGGACCGCCTGCCTAAAGGGGATCCAGTCTTTAAAATGGTTCGAATACCGATTGGATAAATGGCCGAATGATCGTCTATCCTGGAAACCGACAACCAGTCGTCCAGGGGCATAGGCGGCGTGACTAACTATCCGTACCTGTCTGCAACTATCGGCCATGTAAAACAGTCGGTATAGTGAACAATTGGATATCAGAATATTCAATACTTAGAAAAATTTGAAGCAAAACAAAAAATTCATTAAAAAGAAGCCGGTCATTAAAGACCGGCAAAATATTCAGAGCCCCGGCCCCCTGGCCGGGTAAATACAAAACAAACGGCACGCAGGCCGTGGAAAGAATACATAAAGCTTAAGAAGGGGGCAGATCTTCAATATTAGCAGCTGCCGCCTGGTCAGCACTCTTCTTGCTGGACTCGGCTTCAGCTGCATTCTTCTTTGATGCATTACCCCCAAGCGGCACAAGCGCCACTACCGGCTCCTCCTCCTCCAACGCTTCCTCCAACGCCTCTTCCTCAGCAGCCGCCAGGATCTCTTGATTATATGTATCAGATCACTGGCGGTACGTTTTTTCCCATGAGGCAAAGTCGGCATTGGGGAAGAGGCGGCCCCAAGTCATGCGCTGGATTTGAGCAGAGTCTTCCATCATCTCCCGGACTAGCTCTTTCTTTTCTTGCTCGGCCTTTTCCGAGAGCTCCTGAGTAAGACTCTTCTCCTGGGTCACCAGGCGTTCCTTTACGTTGGCCAAGGATTTCTCCAAGGCTTCGTATGAGTACATCTTTAGGCGAAGAGGTTTCACTCGGCCTTGAGATTGGTGATGGTCGCCTCCAGCTCGCCATTCCTCTTCTGGGCCGCCTCTAACTGAGCCCGAATACCGGCGGTAGCCTGCGCCTGATAATAAAGAATATCAATGGTCAGAACTTCATTTTGGGCAATTTGAAACATTGCCTTATCACAGTCAGAGGCGGCCATAGCTTTTGCAGCCTTTACCTCTTTGTTCTTCCGGTCAAGCGGCTTGCGAAGGCCGTTCACTCGGAGCAGGGCCTAAGTAAAAAGGAACAGGCGTCAGTTTCCAAACAAAAAAGAAAACAGGCGTCCTGGAATTCAAATACTCAAAAATATGCCAAGTATACCTCAGCAAGGATCCCTGCAATCCCGTCTAGGTCAAGGGTGCCGACACCCCTGACCGCCTCCCTTTCAGCTGGAGGAACGGCCTTGATCATAGACTTGGCCACCTCGACCAAGTCAGGCTCCTGAGGGCCGGCTGCATCAAGCATAAACAAACGGATTAGACCTAGTAAAAAAGGGAGCAAGTCTAAAATTTACAAGGACAACTTCATACTTCTAGGCGGCCCAACTGGAGTTTTAGAAGAAGTGGTCGGCTGTTTCTCAGTCGCCGCATGTTTCCTGGCAGAACCATGAGAGCTCGCAACAGTCGTCCTCCGGGCCTTGGGGTCCGGCTGTTGGGAAGAAGAAGCTCTTGGAGCGCCCGTCTAAAAAAGAAGAAAAAAGTCAGTATATGCATAAACACAACTCCAAAAAAAAAGGGTGAAAGGTTCGAAGCCCACCAAGGGTGCCCCCTTCTTGGGGGAGTCGGTTGAAGCTTGTTGCATGATGGAGGCCCGCAACATGGCCGCCGCAGTCTTGGAGGCGGTAATTTTGCTCATGGCGTCCGCTGCAAAAACAATTAGCAAAGTTAATACAAGTCATAACAAGAAATGCATGAAACAACATAGTATTCGACAGGCCGGCTACCTCTTGAGCACCGACTGCTGAGGCCACAGGCGGCCAAAAAGTACTCGTCGTAGAGCCATTTGAAGCTCGGGACGCAGTGCAGGGGTACTTGCTCTCGTACCCCTGAAGTAGAGTTCACCTTCGACTCTACTTTGAAGAGTCCTTTATCTAGGATCTCTTTCTTAGCCTTGGGGGGAACAGGCGGCATGCTGCGGCCGCCTGCAAGAAGGGGCGGATTCCTGTTCCACCTGTTGAGGCGCTTGTTCAGCTCTGTGTCTGAACTCTCAACGATGAGGAAGGTGCTCCGCCAGTCCTTCCATTTGTTTGCTTTACCTCTCGTCATGAGGTAGCCCCTGTGGCTCGTCAATTGATACCAGCCGGTACCGCCTGCCTTAGGGGTCCGGCTGAGATAGTTCATGTGGGCGAAAGCCTCGAAGCTCGGCTCCACCCCGTGCAGTTCGCACCCGGCCACATAGCCGAGTACGTTGACCCAGGAGTTCGGGGCTAACTGCCATAACCCCAACTCATACCCATCCAAGATCCGCTGAACAGCCGGATGTAGTGGGAAGCGCAGCCCAGCCTTGATGGCCGCCTCGTAGCAACCAAAGCAGGCGCTATCATAACTGGTACCAGCCGGCCAGACGACTGTGTCTTCTGGATCCGGCACGAACACTAAAAAGCCGGGGCCCATTGTGTGGTTTGCGATAAAGCTCTCCACTTTCTCTTGCATGGCTGTGATCCGGCCCCGAGGTACCGTGCAGTAGTAGGGGGTATTTTGCTCTCGGTAAGAGGCGGATGGCTCCGCCCAATTGTCCCCCTTCTCAACTGCGTGAGAAAGCCTCGCCTCTTGCAGGCGACTGTTTTTCTCTTCTGTGTCCAGAGAAGCATGGCCAGAAGAGCTAGACTCGGAATCGTCCTCTGACGAGTCCGAAGAGGACGACTCCTCCCCTCTCCCGGAGGGGCCCGCCTCCTCTCCTTTAAAAGGAGCAGGAGAGTATGAAGAATTGTCAACTGAGAAATGGGAAGGGGTCACTTTGATTCCTCCCTCAGAACAGCCGGCTTTCAAGCCGCTTTGTTTCACTTCCACATCTGGCGCCTGGTCAGATGTTTCACTAATCGGCACCCTGCGGGAGGAGCCGTCTGAATTTGAGATCCTGGCAGTCTTTTTTGATCTGGCCATCATGCTCTGCATAGACACAGATACAGTCGGACTTTGTATAAAGGGCAAAGATGGGTCCGGAAAAGGGCAGGCGGCACTCCTAGTCCTAGATTCAGCCGTCCCCGATGACCGACTGATCACTAACCTAGGTCGTGTCGTGTGCTTCCGTGGTGCCATTTCAAAAAAAAGAATAAAATAAAGAGAAAATTAAGAGTAAGAGAACCGACGGTTACCTGAACGGGTGACGTTGATGGAGTTCTGAAAATCCTGTGCAGGCGGCTTGTCAGAACAGGCGGTAGGCAGAAAAGGTCCAAATTGTCAGAGCAAGTTCAGGGGTCTGAATGTTCTCTCACAAAGTTCTCAAGTGTGAAAATGACTGAAGTCAACACTCCCTTATATAGGCGAAGTGAGAAGGCGAAGGGTCACTTTCAGAATTCAAAATTTGGGCGGGAAAATCTCTCGGCCTTTCGCCGACTGACACCTGTAGCAGGCCGTCGCCTGTTACAGTGCGACACCTGTCATAGGTAACACGTGACCAGTCACGTGCCACCTGTGAGGGGCAAATGATTAGGGGATTTTGCTCCCACCAATCGGAATGCGCCACGTGGGCCAATCAGGTCCTGCCAAGTGTCCCCCAGTTGGAACTGTCAGGGCTTGCCACGTGGCACACGCTTATTCGTCCACCTTGGACCTATTATGTCATGACACGTGGCATACTCCATGCCTAATGGAGAAACCGGCCACCCAGGCCCAACTTCCGAGGGAAGCCCAATCAGCCCTAGGTTAACCTAAACCTAGGATTAGCACGTTTCCCAAGGTTATAAATACCTCCCTTAATCCTCATTAAGAGAGATTACATGAATTACACAGAGATAACAGCCTGATCACGCTAACAAAGCAGATTACCTACATTAAACACTCTCACCTAGAGAGACCCAATCACTTTAATTTCCGCATTAATTACTCCTTAATCAAGTACTAACTTGACCGTTGGAGGCGGAGCTCCCACCACCAGGAGTCTCCGTTGTTTTGCAGGTACAGGCGTCCGGTTCCAGTCTCGGAATTGTAACTCTCCCGCAGGACATCAGAAAACCCCGAAACACCATTGACTTTAAAAATACCTTTTTATAAAATTATATGCCCCAATGATTTTAAAATATAAAATAAAGTATTTCCAAAATTATTAAATAAATAAATTGGACCTTTAATTTAAAACTAAAACTCTTTAATTTAGTAAATCATCATAAATAATTCATTTCAACTTATTTAAATATTTTAAGAAATACCAATTTAAATTAAAATACGTATAAAAATACAGGGTATTACAGTGAGATACAGAGAGTGCAGCTGAGTGATCATTTGGGTAAGACGGTGTCCTATAGACGTTTTGGGAAGCGTAAGGGTTTTGAGATTCTTTCTGCTTTGAAGGTTAAAAAGTTGGTAAGGGGTGTCCATTGTACTTTTGCTGTGTCCAAGACTTGAGTATGGGTGAGGATAGGCGGATTGAGGATGTTCCTATTGTGAATGAGTTTTTAGATGTCTTTCCGGAGGAAATGTCGGGAATGCCACCCAAAAGGGAAGTTGAGTTTACTATTGACTTAGTTCCGGGAGCTGCACCTATTTCTAAAGCATCTTATAGAATGGCACCAGCTAAGATGAGTGAGCTGAAGGTCCAATTGCAGGAGTTACAAGATAAAGGGTGCATTAGGCCTAGTATGTCTAAAATTTTGGCTTGCTCCGCCCTATTACTCCTACCCTACAAGCCATCGTGCATTGGCAAGTGAGAAATGACAAATAATGGCGCACTAATAAAAACGAAAAAGTCATCACATTATTATATCTTTCAGCTAAAACTAATAAGAGCCACACAAAGAGGGTGAGACTTGAGACTTTGAGAGAGTCCAAAGTGGGAGAGAGAGAAAAAAAGATGGAAGGAATAGGAATGCAAATGGTGGTGCCAGTAGCAGCCATAGTAGCAGTTGCTGCAGTCACCTTTTATGCTGTTAGCTTTGCTGAACTTCGAGAGGTATTAATTTTATCCATCTCTTCAGAGTTTTTTTAGCTAATCACATGAAAAATGTAAAAAATGAGGCAATCTGTTAAACAGAAATCATTCAGAGAATACGAAGACAAGGAAGAGGATAATGGAATGGGATTTCAGTCCTCTATGAGCTCCCGAGAGCGACGTGCCCAAAGAAAAGCGAGCAAGAAATCCAACAATTGAGCTTCATCAACGCTGCTGCTCCTTTACTTAGAGTGGAATTCCCAGAAGCATGTACGATACTCTCTGTTTTAGGCTTTAGCTTTCGCAATCTGATTTACAATATATGCAAATTGTCAACCAGTACGATACCATATTGGTATCAAAACATGATATTTTACAGAGATATGGAGCACAATTTTCGTCGCAGACAACTATCTGCAAATCTGCAATCATCAACACTTATACCTTGCGTACAACCAGCTTGACTGAACTGAGTGATCTGTTATGTTGTCGAGAGGTGTCATGTATTACCGATCTAATATGATTTTACGAAAAAGACGCTTTATAGTAATAAACTAGTCAAATCTTTCATTTCTCCATTAGGGATACTTGTGACTTATACTCTATAAGTTAAAACTTTGAAGCCGGGATTTATAAAACAGTGCACTGGCACAATAATGGTCTGGAAATAATGCATTTATTAATTAAGGCATAGTACGGAGTAATATTCTTACAATGACTATTATGTCATCACAAGGAACCCTTAATTTACATAAGAAAATATGGAAGAACTTCATTTTCGCCATTATCAACCCAGCAAGGATCCTTACTTCTTCTGGGCCTTCAGCTCCTTCACTCTCTCCTCAGTGTCCTTCAGTGCTTTCCCATATTTGGTAATTAACTGATGTGGATCATACAAAGAAAATAATGTCGGTATATATTAAAAATTGCATTCATGAAGTCAAGGAATATACTTCCTAGATAATCAGGCACTGAAATGTCATGCATTGAATTTTTTTTGTTACAAAATTTAAAGTCTCAGTAGAATAGATGTTCACCTCATCAATTTCTCCCTCGGAGATAACTAGTGGAGGGCATATCATAATGTTATCACCGGCCACACGAACTAACATTCCATGCTTCTGGCACTGTGCCCCAAAATATGCACCGATTCCTGACATTTAAAATAATCAGGACTATGAGATGAATAAACAGATCAGATTAAGCATCTGACAAGGCAGATACAATAGTCATCATGCAAGAGAGTTTAAGACCACCGTGCATGAGGTAGTAAGATAAAACTCAAGGAAAGAGGTCATTTCAAGTATAATCAGGGATAGCTGGGGAAAGTAACTAGGAAATTAAAAGAAATGTACAATAAATAATATATAAAAAAAAACTTGCCCCATTCAGGAGGAAATGGATCATTTGGTGACTTGTTGTCCGTGAATTCAGTTCCAAGAATTAAGCCAGTTCCTCTTATCTGTAGGAAAAAATTACATAGTAATGTTAAATGCTGCTAGCAAGCAGCAACAACAAACACAAGCCAGATAAAGACCCAAGAAAAAAATAACACTAAAAGATACCTCCCCAATGATAGGACTGTCAGCATAAGTTCTAATTCCATCTTGAAATTTTGGTGCAAGTTTCCTTACACGCTCAACAATATTTCTTTCCCTGAAAAAAAGATGACATCAGCTGCTACCAATCGTTGACAGACATAACAATCCACAAGTACACAGTAATCATTTCAAGCACCAATAGCTCCAGAATCCAGACTCCAACACGGTGCCAAGCACATACATGTGGTTAAGTGGTTTACTGGTACTTCATGACTGAGAAACTAGAATTAAGGACAACCCAGACCTTCAGTCATCATTCTAAACCTACCTAATGCAAGAGAGTGTAGCGTAGCATGTAGTGCTAAGCTGATAGTGTGAGCAAGTCTAGCATGCTCCACTAATTAAATAGCTCTCTTGGGTACGTCACAAACATTTAGCAGTATGTTCAGCCAAACTGCAAGGTCGGTCTGCAACCAGGTGAGATAGTCACAGGACCAAATACCAACCTGCTTTGCTAGATGTAGTTCCAGTTCTCCAAAGTTTTTTTTCCTATTAGAAAGGCGCATATCAGACTCAGAGAGAATAGAAAATGCAGGGTACACAAGCCATGACCCATTCAAATGACCTTCCACATGAGACTCATACACTTACCCTTACATGGGATTGAAATATAAATTGCTCTACTCTTATTGAGCCAAATGAAATTGAAAGATGTTAACGCTCATCCCTTAGAAGTTTTGGCACAAATCCTACCCTCAATAAGTTGCTACAAGGGGTAAGAAAGATTGTATATTCAGATGTAACGCAGCCTCCAAGCCTCACCTTTCCAAGAGAAAAATAAGAGAGGGGGGTGGGGGGGGGGGGGGGGGGGGTGGGCGTGGGGAGGGGATAAAAAGGAGCAAATTAAGATAATGGACGATTGAAGATTTGTGGGGGAGCGAGGATCCAGGAAGATCATACTTGTACAACTTCAGTGCTTCGAGTGCAACAGCGCAAGAGACCGGGTGCCCAGAATACGTGAATCCATGAGAAAAGGAACCTACAATTTAATTATCAAAACCCTTAATCACTTCTGACAGAGTATTAAAATAAAATGTTTTCATAGAATTGTAATACTACTACTTCGTACGAAGTACATTGCAATAGAAACATACCAAGTTTGCTGCTTTGAGTGTTTATAACTTCTGAGATTTCAGGACTTACTAGAATGGCTCCAATGGGCATGTAAGCTGAAGACAAAGCCTGTAAAAGCAACGGAAATAAACAACCAAGTGCCTAAAGCACAAAGAGACCAAGAGTTTGAACAACATGCCTACCTTAGCCATGGAGACAAGGTCTGGTTTGAGGTTGTATTTATCAGAACCAAACATTTCACCAAGTCTTCCAAATGCACAGATAACCTACAAGATAAAAATAGAGAAGGAGAGGACTTTTGCTTGAATAAGAGAATGAAGTTCAGAAGTGAACAGCACAATAGTAATCTCCTCGACATGTCTAATCAAAAGGGAGGGTTAAATGTACCTCATCTGCAATAAAGAGGATGTCATATTTCTTCAATATCGGTTGAACCTGTGCCAAGTATGATAAAGTCAAAATCTTAAAAACAACATAAAAAATGCATAGCATCGACACCAAGGGTGCATGAGATATAGAAGACCACTTTCTATTACAGAAAGATAAAAAATAAATAAATTAAATTAAAATAAAATAAAATTCTAGTATCCCTAACCATATGTTGTCAATAAATTCTCACTCGCAATGTTTTGCAGATTTAGCTACGGTGCATCACAATCTTGGCATATAAGGGGAACCCATTGTAGTTGAAACATAGCTGGGAACAGTTTGCAGATCCTATAGTCTTTTCTGCCTCCATGTGTAACTTAAATCTATTCAAGGCTTCAAGCGCAACATCTCAAGCTATAATGTTCATACGCATTGTTGATAATTATATTGTGCTATGATTTCATTCAGAAAATCTATTCCTTGAATTTCCTAGGTAAATTTCATGAAACTGTGTGTAATACAATACATACCAAACCCAGGGTCCAAGATTTACCCCTAATTTCCCTAATATCCACCTGCCAATGAAACACTCTAGATTGAACATAAACTTGGGACGTGAAACTTTCACTCACAAAATATAGACTATAATCAAAACTTCCACTAAAGACTCATTTACCATAAATCATTGTTCTTTCCCACCACATATAACCCCTAAGTCCCTAACCCAACATGGCTAAGCTGATGAAGGTAGAGTAATGGGCTGTCGCAGTCAAAAACTTCCTTAACCTCTTTTTGCTGGCTTCACAGCATGCATACGGAGTACAGCAAGAATGTTTGCTCTTCAATTGATGTCAATTACAAGATTACATCCCTTGAGGCCTTTTCTAATGCAATCACTTCATTCACTCCATACAACCCTCTCTTCAAATTTTTAGATGGGGAAAGAAGACCTTCAGCAAAGGCTGATGAGAATTGAAGAACCCAGGTGCAAAGCAGAGGGGGTAGAGAACTGAGAAGAGAGGAGTATGGAGAGGAAAGGTATCAACAGGGGAGAACAGAAAGAGGTGAAGCCGTGGAGGGGGGTAAAGGAGATAAAAAGGGGGAAAAGAGGTGATGGGATCCAAAGGGTTGAGTTGCTGGTGGCTCATCATGACTCAAAATACAGGACAGAGAAGATTGACTTGTAAAATCTCTTTGTTTGTGCACTCTTATTACAGCTTTTACTACCAATACATATAACTTACAATTTACTCATTTAGGAACTTTTTCTTATTTTTTGAAAGGTTAAGGAGCCGATATATGAACTGCAGAATACCTTGTCATAGTATGTTGCCGGGGGAGGAATTACACCTCCTGCTCCCATAACAGGCTCAGCAATAAATGCAGCAATCTGAAGTGGAAAAGCCACAATATATCAAATTTAAATTAATTTACTCTGTTTCAGCTTAAAGATCTTAACAAAGTTTTCTTTGACTTCAAGGAAGTATTAATCGTAGCAGTTATACCGTCTCTGGTCCCTCTTTGAGGATAAGATTTTCTAGATTATTGGCCAACCTGGTAGCAAACTCCTCCTCTGTTTCACCTGTTACAAAAAGTGCATCATGCATAAGTTTAAGAAGAAATATAAAAGAAAGTGAAGATCAATCACAAAACCAAGAAGTCGACCACAACCTGGAAGATGATAGCGCCAATAATGAGGACAATCAGTGTGCAAAACAAATGGAGCTGGCAAATCAAATTGTTGATGCAAGGCAGGAAGTCTGTTCAAAAAAGCATATGGGTAGGTACCGCTGCATTTGACAACACAATTAAACAACTACGTAATATGCAACCGAGATCTTACCCTGATAAGCTAGCAGCTATTAGGGTGGAGCCATGGTATCTGTCAAAAGCAAGGAAACAGTAAGATTGAATTCTTTCAAAATGGAAATAAACTAAACATGGATTAGATGAAAATTACGATTTCGATCGAGCAATAAATTTTTTCTTATCTGGTCTTCCGAGTGCATTGTTGTAATACCAAACCAGCTTAACCTGCAAGCCAAAAAATTTCCTAAATCCCATGTTCAAGTGAAGCCTCATTAACTAAGCATAATCCGCATCTCAAAGAAATAACATTGTTTCAATGTGAGCAAAAAGAAAAGTAGCAGATAGATGTTGCATAGTGTCCTTTCCTTATATTGTCTAAATCGCCTCCTTTCCCTGGTGTCATCCCCATTACTTTCATAATCAGACTTACTGTATTTCCAAGTCGATCATAAAAGAGTAACTCAACCAACCTGACATAGAAGTTACCATGTGCAATTGGATGCTACTCTGTCATGCACATGTCCTGAGTGCAACCCTCTAACAAAGTGAATAAAGGTATGACACAGTTTGCCTGGGAAAACACAAATATAAGGATGCCTTGGCAGTAAGGTGCTTGGTTGATGATTAGTCAGATGTTATACTTTTGGGTATAGTGTTTCAGTATGGAGGTGCACTAAGACAAATCAATGAGGTCTGCTGTATCAACCATGTTTGACAGCTTTTAACACATTCAAGTTTTGCACAGATATGGACAGACTTAGCCACTTGGGTACAACCGTACAACCCAGTTCTCAGTTAGAGCATCCTTAATATTATCACTTGCTTCCATTTTTCTTTGGCTCCATGCGCCCAATATTATATAACTCTTCTCCTTCTAGGTCTTATAAGACATGACATAAACTTCATAATATCAATAGAGACACTCTCACATATAACTTACCTGAGTATCATTGGCTTCTGATCCACTATTTACAAAAAAAGCTTTGGCCATTTTTCTTGCTGTAAACATTTCTACAAGCTCCTCAGCAAGATCCTGCGAATTGATCAAAGAACTACTATAAGCACCTCCTTAATTGCACATTCCTTCTGTACCTTTAGTATACAACAATCAGGGCCAAAGATAAGCAGAGTGGATGCAGGATTTCAAGAACATGCAACTACTAGGACTTCTGCCAAACTTACAAGACACTCAACACAGATAACCTAATGTTTATGAAAAAGGCCTTGGAATCTAAAAAGTATTGAAAGAATTTAAACTAGAACTCTATATATAGAATGCAACAAATAAATAAACAAAAAAATACAACTACAGCAACAACGACCAAAAACAAGTCAATTATTAGGTATGGATTTGTTATAAATGGGAGTTTCTTACATATAGAAAATAAGACAATTGTACTTTATCTGGCAAAAATGGAAAATAAAGATAATAGAAGCTTCAAGAGGCTTATGCTGTCACTAATCTCCAAAGTGTAAAAAATAAGCTAAAGAAAATACTCAATAATATTCATCCTCCTCTCACTAATCTCCTTTTTTTATGGCATTTCTCAGTCCAATTAACCAACTTACTTACTCTTAAGGCTTAATCTGACAACTAAATATGCACAGTCTACACTACTGCTCCCCAATAGGTCAGATTCATTACAGGACTATGGATCTAATCTCCATCTTTCCACTCAATCAAAAGAATTAAGACTTTGGAAAATAAAAGGCCAATAAGTGGTACCAGTTACAAAAAAAGAAAAAGATTATTCGTTATCAATAGGAGTAATTAGAGGCTGGTATCCAATTTAATTTGCAAACAGATAAAATTTTTGTACTTTTCTCAAAAACAAAAATAGCTTCTTTCTTAGGGTTAAATTGAGGTGCAAGCTTGACCATTGAGGAGCTGGGTTTGAAAAGCACCATGTTTTTTCATTACTTCTAGCATAAATTGTAAGATTTGAGATTTAAAAATTAACAGAATATAATCTTCTAAGGTTCCACAAGTTTCTCAGTTTGACATTTGCAGTCAAGCTTAGCTGGAGACTGGGAAACTATATGTTGAATCAAGCTTGAACCTAATGACTCCCAACTATTGGGTTGATTAATTCCCAATCTAATACATGAAAGAACTGCAAAAACCACTATGGGTCTCTCACCCCTTCTGTACACGAACAAATGCCAGATATTATCAAGAATGACGTCCTAGGTCATTCATCAAAATCATCCTCCTTGTAAGCTTCCAGGAGTATAAAATACATGCATCTATTACACTTCGATTTCCTTCAGTATCAATAAATTTTACACTATTATCAAGCCCTAAATCCACCCACCAGCCCTAAAATCTACACAATTTACATTATTTTGGTAGCCAAACAAACATTTACCAACATACATATCTGGGCATCTGGCCTCCAAATCCAACCTCCTCAATCTCAATCCGTGATAATAACAATATAACATTCAGTAAACTTGTACTTATACATCAAATATTAACTTATACAATATGCTAGAGCATTAACTCAATATGTATATCAAAGGATGCTGAGTAATTACTTAAAAGATAACTCAATGAATGTTCTGAATTTAACAAGCTCTGTATGTAGCACTTACTAAAGACACTTTGGTAGTTCGATTCCAAAATGAGTGGTAGAATGGCAACTTATTCAACTGTGATGTTGCAGCAGAAACAAGTCGAGATTCATTTCCTCCTGCATGTTTCAGTCCAGGCACCGCACATGGTCATAGCTTGCAAATTGCGACACAAGCAAAGAATAGAGAAAAGCAGATATATGAACATCTGAATCAAGACATTGAAAGACAAAATTTTCAAAGCTCTGACTGCTTTTTACCATAACTAGTGAAAGGGCTCTTCCACTAGCAGAATCATAATGCAAAGGTTCTTCAAACAGATAGCCAGATAGGGAGTATGCTTGTTTAATACTCTTTAAAAAGTATAAGTTATACAAAAACCAGTTTATTGTTAACTAATTTACAGAAAACCCTAAATGCATATAATTGATTCAAAGATCACAAAATAAGACAAGGAAAAGAACACAGAAATATAAGTCTTAGGAAACAGCAATGAATCTAAGTTGTCTTCATCAAGATCAGTACCTAAGGCTGTGCACCACAGACCAGCAAGAGAATCAAGATATTTGTTGCCTTCAATATCGTACACGTAGCAACCCTGGGAGAAAATAATTGCATGAGCAGGGTACAAAATATATATATATATATATATATATATATATATATATATATATATATATATATATATATATATATAAGATAGCTTTTGATCCTTATTAATTCTCTAGATTATAATATGGTAAATAAATTTATGAAGAAGATATACCTCAGACTTATCTATCACCAATGGATGTGTATCAGTCGATTGACACCCAGCAGTGAAAGGTGCCAGCATATCATGTCCTTTGAAACTAAAATTACAAAAAAAAATATATATATATGAAAACATAAAATTAAATTTAAAAAAAAAAAAAAAAAAAAAAAAAAATTGAATGAATGTCTATTGATGTAGGTTCTAAATTTGACTTGCATTATTTTGATACAAGTCCAGGGTATTCTGTATGAGATGTGAAAATGTGGAAGAAGTACATTTTCAAAGGGACCAATGAAGCCAAAGAAAGATATGATGAAATTTTTTGAAGCAAAGCCTCTTATATATGAAGTTTTAGAGGGTAATTGTGTATAGTAGCAGCAACAGATCCATGAAACTGGCCCACAAGGCCACTAGTAGGAAAAGGCTTAGCTTGGCTGTATTTGTTATATTTGGTTAAATAATCACTCTAACAAAAGAGGCACCATCCTACACTCTATTTGATAAAAATCAGCATAAGTTATACAGTACAAACCTTTTTTTGCTTTCTGTAGTTGAGTCCAGTGATGCATCACTACTGGTATATCTGGCCAGATATAAGGCTCGAGTACCATTATTGACAGCATGCTTCACATTTGAATTCGACTGAAGATACACCATTGCGGAAAACAATAGTCCAGAATATTTCAGATGCATAAAATGAGCAACAGAGTTAATCCACTCAAAGTATAGACTATAATCCCTCCGTCCCACAATATAGTGCTTGTTTCTCATTTTTCATGGGAACTAAGGAGAATGGAGGGAGTAGTGAGATTCCTTAAAAGTGAGTACACATTTTATTTTATTTTTTTAACAAAAAATAAATCAGATATTACTGTGTTTAGAGGCATGTGCTGCTTGTGTTAGCCAGTCAGATTAAAGTAAAGACACTTCGTTAGGATTGCATCCCTTACATTTATTCTCCTTTAGGTTCAATGTTCATGGATTGAAGACAAAAAAGACAGACTTGAACCTTTCATCCCCTCCAACAAATCAAAACAACCATAGCCTCCCCTAAAAAAATAATAATAGTAATAATAATAAAATGAATCACAATAAAACTAAAATAGTTGAACATATCGTAAGGATAAAAAATTTATGCATCATTGCTTGCATACATGGCTTTGGTTCATGGCTTCCACCGCTTAGACTTGCCGGTGCCTCTGCCATTTTTTATGTAAACAATGTAAAGTTGAAAACCTAAACCTTAAAAATCCAAAAAGTTGCACCAGCGTATATTGAACAGAGACGGGGCAAGAAAGAGAAAGTAGATGATAGAGACAGAAATTTATAAGGAGAAAAAAAATTGTATAGTGAGATAAACAGGGTAATTTTCAACAAAATTATGAAGGGTATTGTTCGTATATCATATAAATTGAAGATCAAACAGTTATTTAAAAAAAAAAACAGAAATCTGAATAATATGAAGAAACAGAAGTCTGAATGTCACAGACAGAAAGTGAACTTAGGCACTAAAAGTGAATGCTTCAAGAAATTTTAAGGGGCTTTGATTCACAAGGGTAGTTCATACGCAGGCCTACAAATTTTTTGATGGAAAATGCAATATCTTAGAGGAATTAATAAGAGGGAAAGAAGCGAATTAGGATTCTAAGTAAGAAATATGGGTATGAATATATATAGAGAGAGATAGATAATATAGATTATACAAAGATCTACTAATTAGCAAACATTTTCTCTAGCATTATTGCATGTGCTATAAAATCAAAAAATAGTCCATCAAGTGGACCAAAAAGATAACCAAATCTTCCCCCAAAACGATGTAAGCAATAAGGTTGATACGTCTCCATTAAAAGTCACAAGCTGAACCAGATCATAACCTTTAGACTTATAGCAAACCAAACGAGTTTATATGCTAACAAAGATCCAATTTCAGCGAAATAAGACCAACAATAGACTATTTTCTTCATTAAATCGTTCATTGGTTAAACATCAATATTTCAGAATAGTCATAACTCATAAGCTGATCCTGATCATAACCATCAGACTTATAGCAAACAAAACGAGTTCATTAGGTAACGAAATTCCAATTTTCAGCGAAATAAGATCAGTAGTAAACTACTTTCCGCATTAAATCGTTCATTGGTTAAACAATCAATATTCAGCTCCACATGCTGCACAAAGCAACTCATGCATTGTATATACCTGCTCTGAATAATTCATTATCCACCTATTCAATCAATAACTCAGAATCTCCCAAATTCATCCAACTAGTATGTCCAAATTATAAAAAAAAATTAAAAAAAAAATTAAAAAAAAAAAAAAAAAAAATTGGATTTTCCGGGCATAAACAAAACGTGGGCGGTGAGTTCATCTAATAATTTAATTATATTGGTGATACATTGTTTAATTCTGACACAAAAGAACCTGTTTCGTCAATTTGAATCAATAATGGTCTTATTATTAAAGATCATTTGTGATTAGCTTTATTTTCTCACAAGGTCACAAATTTCCTTGCCCAAACAAGAAATTTCACAAAATTCAAAACCTAAATATAATTGACATCAAAATTCTACCTCAACAAAAATAATTCACAATATCAAAACAGACATGATCTTCTAACATTCATTATCAACAAGGAAAAAAACTGGAAAAATTATGTAGATAGGAACAGTCAATAAAAAATAAATAAAAAACAAGCAGTTGCAAACAAATTCAAAAAAAAAAAAAACATGAAATGAAAACCCAAAATTACGATCATAATAATATCAGAAATTATTGAAAACAGAGAATAATCGACTAACAAATTTATGAATAGGAAAATGAATTTTGAATACCTTGATTGCTTTGAACGTTGATTGAATCAAATGTCTCATTTTCACGGATTTATCTTAAAAGAGAGAAAATTTTTCAAAATATCCAAAAAAAGAGAGAAATGTTGAAGAGTTCAAGTTAGAGTATGGTGTACTTAGAGAATCCAAATTTATTGGGAATGTGCTAATTATATAAATTTAATATTTTATACTATGATTAGGAAATAGTACTATTATATTAGCTCGAAAAACAGTCAATATATCGAATATTAATAGTCAATTTTTAAAGTAAATGAGCTTTCTCAACAAAAAAAATAAAAAAGGGTAAATATGGAATCAATTGATATTGATTATTTAAGAATTGATATGTTACCATATGAAGGAAGCTTGTGTCATCAAACTTGATTCTCCTATTAATGGGTTTTATACCTAGAATCCAATGAGAATCTATCCACTAAAATGGATCATGGGATTTGATTGTCCTAGAATCAAGCATGGATTATCTATTCATGTACACAATACTTGGTACTCCCCTCATTTTTTTTAGTGTCATCTTGATTTTTGTGCCTAATTTATACCTTAGAAACGACTTTGACAAATGTTATGATAAAATAAGGTCATGTACTCATGTGGCCATGTGGGTATGTGTTGAAATCGTGTCAATGTATAGTTTTCGAATATCAACTTTTTTATAATATATATTTACTAATTTAGTCAAAGTTTTGAATTAATGTACGTGCCCAAAAAAATAGACACTTAATAAAACAAGGAGAGTATTATTATACTCTGTATTATGGTGGCTAGATTTATGTGCCGAATGTACATATTTATACGTAATGACGATATGAGATGTATAATTCTTGAATAAAAAAATAAAGTATAGTTTGATCTAGTGAAAAGCTTTGCATCTCACAATCATAAGGTTGTGGGATCAAATTCTACTAGATTCACTTTGGGATGGATAGAACCTAATCCTGCTCGAGTTGACCTAAATTATCAAAGTAAAAGTGTCTCGCCAAGGCGTCAATACGGACTTATTTGTCCAAACAGTGAGCCACTGAGAATATTGTTGTGCAACTTTATAAACAATGCAAAAAAATTAGCTAAATTGAAATTTATTTTATCAAAAAAGAAAATATTATCATCATCACAATTCACAAATCACAACCAATAACAAACCCCGACAAAGATAATCAGCCCTATATTAAGATTATAGGGCACAAATCCTCTTGTCCCATTGTGTGTGTGCGCGTGGGGGAGGGGAAATAATCTTAGGGCCATTTTATTTTTTATTTATTTATTTTTTAATTTCAGCAAAACCTTCACGTATTTCTGTTAAATTTTTATCCATAATCTTAGCAAAGGAATTGGATCAGACAGAAATTGCTGTTACTTAAGCTATCTCTTAAAACTAAAAACTTCTAAATTTGCAAGGAGATGCAGTTGCACTTCATTGCAAAGACAAAGCTCATTCATTGATAATACAAAATTTCATATATTAACACCTTTGAAGTTTTGAATGAATTTGAAGGAAATCATCTACACTTATCAACACAAGATTGGCGGTATTCAGGGAGCTTCCACCACCTAGAAACATAATCGAATATGATACTACCAACCATAACGAACGAGAGGATGGAGCAAGTAGATAAAGAGAGCCTAAGAGATAAAAGTGATCCTTGACCGTGTGAGAAGGGAACCCAGTATTGAAGCTGTCAAGAGAAGCCCACACCTGAGATCATTTAGAATTAGCAATGTCAATGTTGGAATAGATCGAGTTTGTAACTTGGCAGCAGGAAAAGAATGTTTGCGAGTAGTGCAGCTCCACTTTCCAGATTTGAGCATGGTGTGGCCGCATAAAAGCTTCATTAGAATCTCAATTCTGATCTCAAATGCTTTAGCTGGGTCAAAAAATTAGGCCACCTGAAAATACAGCCATCTATGAATATCAAGTCGAACAATTATCTCACACCAGAAGAAGACTCAGGATTCTGTGCAAATCCCCCTGGAACAAAAACAGGAAGCTGGTTTGATGCAGTATCCCTTTTAAATCTTGATTCCCGGGATGTATTTGGGAACAACCGCTCCTGACCCCGCCTGAATATTGAATTATTATCAGTTTTAGCAGCATCTTTTCCAGGAATACTTGGCCCACCAAAGAAAATGCTTTCCCCAGTGTACATCAACTTATCTGATTGCTGGAGTTGAGCTCTTGAGGAAGATGACTCTTCTGGTTGAGCTGCTGGCATTGGCATTGGTCTTCTACTGTAACTGTTAAAATCTACATTAGCTTTTGATGTTGCAATTTGTTGCAAGGATTTGTTTCTAGCATCTGTTGTGGCAGCGACTGATACATATCTCCCAGCTTCTTGGTCCCAAATTACAGATGTCCTTTTGACATCTCTAAGAAGAGCGGTTGATGCTGAGAGCAATAAAGGATCTGTACTACTTTCTTTCTGAAACTTTTTGTCGTCGGGTAGTGATGGAAAACTAGATACTGGATCAACGCCATGGAGGGTTCCCTTAGAAGTAGAAGGCTGAGCTGTGTTCAAACCAGGAATAGAGCCAGCTGCATTGAAATGGTTCAATCCATGAGCTCGTGGAAGAGGACTTAGCGTTACTGATTCATGTACATGACTAGGACTGCTGAAGCTACTCATGCTGTGGGTCCCAGTTTCATATTCATCTCTGCTTCCTTGACTAGGAGCAACAGAATTTCTCATAGAAGAGATTCTAAAGTCGCCTTTAAAATCTTTGTTTGCACCCATATCTGTACTCACACTACTTTGGATGCTTATGTTTTCGCTGGAACTGTAGTCAATAGCTTGCCGATGACGGTCAACTGGTCGCATCACAGATGATGAAGCCCTGGCTTTTGCTGCAGCTTTCATGACTTCATTAGGATCCAACTTGGCAAGCCTTAATGCACTGCGCTTGACTGGCTTTCTAGGTGCCTTGCTTCGTCCTGTTGCATCTGGATCAGTGGTCGATGGGACCATTCCAGGCTGCAAATGAGGGACAACTTCTTCCTGTTACACCACAATTTTATGAGCAAAGTAGAGAGAGACACCACTTTGAATGATCATATATTGACAAATATTGCAGAAAGATGAAACAAAGCACTAGCTTTGGGAAGTTTTATGCATTGGATAATGTGACGTTTGAACAAGTAAAAGTGTAAACTTGATAAGGTAATAACTAGTAATACATGTGGATGTTTATACAACTTTATAAATATCCTAATCTCTCTTTCAAGGTTCCTTTCAAGTAGAAACACCTGGCACGGTGGCACCTATTCAGTAGTTACCAAGTATTGTGTGAGGAATGGGAGCAGGCCAATGGGGTCCGGACCATACAACAATCCTCCCCCAACCCCCTTCCAAGAAAGCTAAGAAACACCACACCACGACCATCACTACCAACAACAATGTCAGATCCTTAATCCCAATAGGATGGGGTCGGCGGCATGAACCAAAGATTCCATCTCCAGTAGGCGTCGACAAATATCCTCCTCCATCTACACATTATCGAGTGCCATAGGCTCAAACCATCACCAACAACAACCAGCAAATTAGGATTCTCCTACTGGCAAGGTCAAAGTTGAGAAAATCTAGGAAACATACTTGCCACAATGCTTCAATATCAGACTATATATTCTTGAGGAAAGATGAGTAAGAAAAAAGCCATGCAAGGTCATAATTTAGTCTGAAGAAAGCAATTTTCCTATTCATAAGAATCATAACTCTATCTGCTCTGGCTGCTGAACAACCATGTATTTATATCATTTCCTTACAATCTAATACAGTTATAGATGACAATTTCAGCTCACAAAAAGTAAACAAGCATTAACTAACAAAATACAATACACATTATTCAGACAATCAGCATAACCAACCAGCTGAGATTCTCATAATACTGAATTTAAATTAAATTGACCCCTAATCATCCTTAAACATGCGATTAAAGATGATGTAATTGATACGCTATCAACACAGTGTTCTTGCAGAATAAAATATAACGTGGCAACTAATTTAAATTTCCAAAGTATTTAAGTTTCGTACACGGTGCCTTGCAGGAGAGTAACACAGGATATACCAAGAAGACATGGTACCTAAACAGGCTATCAATTTAAATAATTGTCATGTGAAGCAAGATCGCCAAACTATATTATAGACAATACCTGATAATCCACAAATACTCTGGGAGGTGTACACGACCAAGCCCCTTTGTACTGGAGGCCTAGAGAACTGCCACCGCTGAAACCAGTTGTTGCAGACCCACTTGGTGAATACAACTCATTTGGTAATTCATCATTGTCAGACGCTGCTCCTGGTGGTGCCTCACTCATAGCCCTCATAGCCACAACATACTCATATGTAGTAAGACCCTAAAGCCACAAGTGCCGCAGCACCAAAATAAGTAACATGTTAAAATCATTCCCATTCTAACCAGCATCACAAGGAAAGAACGTACTTAGGCCCTACCTTTCTCATCAGTATAATGTGGAAAAAGAACAGTTCGCCCAAAGGTATACAAGCTATAATGGAAACTACCGAGAAGAAAGCCTGCATGTAAAATAAATATTTTGATGAGGTTAAAGGAACACAAACCAATCCACATTATATATACAAAGTAAAATATTACATGTTGGTCTACAATGTACCCCCTTTTGGTTCAACATACCACCACTGTTGGAAAGGGGACAGGAGTGAAACCATTCCCAAGTCTGTCAATAATTTCAGCCTCCATACCTCTCCTATTTACAAAGTAACGTACAAACACAGCAATTCCAATTCCTGCTTCAATAACAAGCTGAACTAGCAAACAGCATAGTCAATAAAACAAATTGAAAAATAAAGCACCTTAAAGGAAACATATGCCTTAAAACATACCCAAATAAGACTTGAGGCCATCAGAGAGATGAATGTCATGTAATTCTTCCTTCCCACGCAATTATTGAGCCACTGACATGAATGAGTGATATGCAAAATTGAGCAACCAAGATATAAGTTGAATGTAAATTTTTCGGCTAGAAAAAAGAGGCTAGTGAATGTAAACATTTGACAGTATCAATGACCCAAGAAATATACCCGGCAGTGATGATCAAACCCATCCACACATTTATCACAGCTTCTACAATGCTTGCTGAACTTGCGTACCTGAAT